AAATGTCAAGAGACCTTTTCTCTTTAAAATGATCCAATTAACTTAAAAAATGTACTGCCAGGTCAAAAAACATAAATTTTGACCATTTGTTTAAAAAAATTTGTTTAAACAATTTTGGGCACGTTTTTGGGCCTGGCAACATGCAAATTCGGATTCAGCGGGCAATTTTACATGGGAATGTGTAAAAAACTCGACTAAAAAAATTTTTTTGACCATTGCGAAGCTGGGGCCTGGACTAGTAAGTTAAAATTCAAATGTAAGCTAATCCAGCTAGTAAAAATTTGATTGTATTTTTAATTGCTAAATTGAAAAATAAACAATATCGCATCCAACAGATGTTTTCAAAAGTTACTTAAAAATCCGTGAGATTCAAATTTGTTTCGAAGTAATAAATTTTTATTAAACAACTTTTTTTCTTTTCTCTCTGATTAAAGTGAAATTAAATTATTATTGCTACTCAACATAGTGTTAAAAAAAAATGGAAAAAAAAAATTAAAATTTTTACAATAAAGAAATTGAAATCTGCGTTTTTACGAATTTGAATTTTGTAGATATTGCTTACAGAGCTATTTTTGAAAGTACACCGCGCAGGCCCGATCCAAGTCATAGACAAAAATAGTTCTATTGAAATCTCTTTTTTTTCTGGCAGTGCTGCGCATGTGTAGGTGACGTTAAACGACACGTATCTCGCGGCTACTAATTTCACTTCGTTGACCTCGTGTGTTTCGAGTGTGTGTTTTTTTCTTTCCCTCTTATTGAAGTTTGCAAGTGCGGTGTGTTATTGTAGTGCAGCAACGAGTGATCTTTATAAATAAATCATGAAAAAAATAAAAATAAAAAGTGCCTTAAATTTTCGACGAATTTGTTCGTGCGTGCGTGCACAGAACGACGCGTCCACGCCCGACGACGAACCCGATAACAGTGCCGATAACCAAGAAATAGTCGACAGATTAGAAAGATTGAAAAGATTACGAGAAAATGTCGACTGGACGATCGAGGCGCAGCGATTCGAATTTCTACGTCGAGTCGACTCTATTATTAGCAACTGGGAGGGCGAACTTCCCAATTTTCACAATCTTTTTCACTGGAAAGTAATGGATCGTCTTCTCTCGGATGCCATAGATTATGGTGACGATAAAAACGATCCTCGAGGAGAACGATTCATCGATTTCGTAATAAGTAGCGGCTACAAAGACGAGCAGCGCACAGGTGACAAAGACGACAAGCCACCTGTGGTTCGCAGCACACCGGTACATCACGCATCTCGACTCAATGCCGATGGCAAGCTTTATCGAACAATTAACAGAGAGATCATACTTAAATTATTTAAAATATACGACAGATTCGATACGAATTTCGCTGACGACGACGGCCTCACGCATTTTCACGTGGCCTGCAAGTACGGCTGCGTCGAGGTCGTCGCGAAATTCCTCGAGCTCGGTCGCCACCATGTCGATTGCCGGACGCGAGCCACAGGCAGCTCGCCGTTGCATATGGCTTACAGCAATCCCAACAAGGAAGTGGCAGAGATGCTGCTCCGCCACGGGGCCGACCCCAACGCAGCCGATAAGCAGGGATTCACAGTTGTGCACTATTCGTGCTACCCTAACGTTTGCGTTCCGACGAAGATGCTGCTCGAGCTCAGCCAGGAAAAATACAAGCCGCTGCGAGTCGACGTTCGAGACAACTCGAGAGGTTGGTCACCGCTGCACTTGGCCGTGATGTTCGTCAACGGAGACTCGTTCGAATTACTACTGAGAAACGGTGCGGATCCGAACGCGGCCGACGAGACAGGAACGACTCCCTTGCACCAAATTTGCAGGCGCGACAACGAAGATTGCAAACTGGCTGAGATGCTGTTCGAGCTCAGCGACGAAAAATATAAACCGATACGGATCGATGCCCAGGACGATGAGGGGGACACACCCTTACTTTTGGCTATGCGTTACAAGTACAGAAAGTTGGCTGCATTACTGCTGAGAAAAGGCGCGAATGCAAATTTAGCCGACGAGGACGGAGACACAGCTTTGCACATCGTTTGTTATGGCAAGCGCGACGATTACGAAGCGGCGAAGATGTTGTTCGATCTTAGCAACGAGCCGCTGCAAGTCGATGCTCGGGATGAGACGGGATGGACTCCGTTGCATTGGGCCGCGCGTCGCGGACACAAAAACTTGCTTCGATTGCTGCTGAAAATGGGCGCCAATCCGACTTTAGCCACCGCGAGAAGAGCAACTCCTCTGCACCTGGTTTGTCAGGGCAACAGCGACGATTACAACTTGGCCAAGATGCTGTTCGATCTGTGCGACGATCGGTACAAGCCGCTGCTGCAAGTCGACGCTCGAGACTCACAGGACAACACGCCGTTGCTTACAGCTGCGTGTCGCGGCCACAAAAACCTGGTTCAGTTGCTGCTGCGGAAGGGCGCGAATCCGAACATAGCCAATAGCAATACGTACACTCCACTGAGCTGGGCTTGCCATAGAAACGATCGCGAGGTGGCGGAGATGCTGTTCGAGCTGAGCGACGAGCGATACAAGCCGCTGCGAGTCAACGACAAGAGCAAGCACGGTTACGCACCGCTGCATCAACGGCTGCTCACGATCGAGTACGCCGCTTCGGACTTCGTGCTCGAGTTGTTGCTGCGAAATGGCGCGGATCCCAATCTACCCGACGACAGCGAATCCACGCCTTTGCACATAATTTGCAAAAGTGCAAACAAATTGGTCGACGACGACGGTTTGGTAAAGCTATTTTTCAAGATATGCAGAGAGATGCATCTCACGGTGCGAGTCGACGCCCGGGATCAGTCGGGTCGCACGCCGCTTTATCACGCTCTGAAGCAAAATTTCAAGAAGATAGCCGCTGCACTGCTGAGAAACGGCTCGGATCCGAATGCAGTCGATAAGCAGGGATCGACTCTTCTGCATACGTTGTGCATCGAATTGACTTTCCATAAAATATTGAACAGATTCTTCGAGGTCATGGACGGAGTCAATCAGACTGTGCAAATAAACGCCCGGGACAGGTTGGAGGGTAACGCGCCGTTGCACATAATTGCAGCGAAAAACATGCGTGACGACGCGAAGGAAGCGACCGAATTTCTGCTGAGACGAGGCGCCGATCCCAACTTAGCCAACAAAGATGGCACGACCCCCTTGCACGTTATCTGTCAGAGAAGAGACTACGATGGCTTGGCCAAGTTATTTTTCGAGGTCAACGACGACTTGCGGCAGACGGTGCAGGTCGACGTCAAGGATAAGTCGGGCCGGACACCGCTGCTACTGGCTGTGACGCATGTATTGGCGGATGTGGTGGATGTACTCCTGAATCGAGGCGCCGATCTTTCCAACTTCGTTTTTCCGAGCAACAAAGATTTTCGACCAAATTTCGTAAACAATAATAAAAAGAAACTGCGTCTGATGTCGGGCGCTCTGGCGATCGTCGAGCGCCTCGAGCAGGCAGGATACAAACTGAACGGCAGCGACGCGTCAACGATTCGGCACTTATTCCAAAAGAACAAATGCTTGGACGAGCCCACGGTTATGGAAAATAATTGGTACGACAAGGAGGGTTTCGCGTGGATAGCGAAAAAGCTAATGATACGTCCGGGCCTGACGCTCTACGACCTGGTCCGGTTATCGCCCAGAGAGATGGGAAAACTACCCTGCACCTACATGGAGTTGTATCGATTCTGGCGCACGGAAAATTCGTGGAAGCCACCCGAGGCTTGCGTTGAACATTTTTGCGAGATAATGTGGAAAGATTTTTCGCGGAAGCGGTTGGTGAAAGCACCATCGTAATGTCGATCTATTTGCATGTATTTTTTTTTGCAATGACTGTTGTTCCACAACATTCAAATAAATAAGTCAAAAAAATTTGTTGTGTTTTAATTTTATTTTTTTTTTAATGTAAATAGAAACGGTGAGCAAATCAAGCAAGTAAAATTGTGAGTATTGCTAACTGCCAGAGAAAAAAATGAATAGCAAAATGTTCAACGTTCAATTAGAGGGGGCACGTCTAAAAAATTATCGACACAAGATTAAATGCCGAATTACTCAACAATCCACGATTTCGAGTTCACTGCATTACATAAAGAGCTGCTCGGAAGAGGTCTGGTGCTTCGCTGGTCAGGTACACATACACAGCATCCACGCAGTTTTTGTTTTGCAATTGAATTTTGAGAAACTTTTTCCGCGTATCCATCATATAAACTTCGCGAGCTACTTATGTCAGAATAAAAAATTAAAAATCAAAATAAAAAATGAACCTCCAGGCCTGGCGCAACGATTCTGAGTTTTTTTTCTTACCATACGTATTATACAGCACGCACGAAATCGAGCGCAAAAACTCGAGGTAGATCCACTGCGCGAGAGTCCCTTCTTGAAAATCCAAGCGCGCGTAAAATTAGAGAGAAAGCTCTCTCGCGCGGATCCGCGAAATCACGCAGCGAGGAGCTTCGTTCGCTCGCGCAGCTCGCGGATTAAATCTCCTGTCTGTGTATTTATATTATGTATGTACGAAAACGTCGACGAGATCGATAAGCGAGCTCGCGAATATATAATGATACGTAAGGCTTCTCTATATATACGTATACAAAACATCATTCTTTACACGCACATTGTATAGTATACATAGTTTTTGCGGGAAATTTCACCGACGCTCGCTCGCGCGCGCGAGATATGGCGAGGGATTTATATGCATGCTGTATATAGGTACGTATATGAAAATCGCTCTCGCTTTCGTTTATGTATACTCATGCTGCTGCTGCTGCTGATGCTGATGCTACGCTACGCGAGGATGCTCTTTAAGCCGTGTGCATTTTATATATTGTATATAGTGGAAAATAATATATACTCCAACGCGGGGCTGCACACGAGACGACGACGACGACGAGGATATATATCGAGAGGATACGTTTGGCATGTAAATTAATCTCTCGTAAACGCCTTGGGAAGGATGAAAAAAAAAAAGAAAAGATAAAAGGTACGTGCTCTTACCTAGTGGATCTTCCAGATAGTCGTTGGATTGGATGGGCTGCTGATGGTATTGCTGTTGCTGGCCCGGTCTGTTGGCCGAGAGATGATCTTTGTTATCGTTGTTGTTGTTGTTGTTATTCTTGGGGCTGGCGATGACGTCTTCGCTGGCGCCGATCAGCTCGCGCCAAACTGCAAGACGCAACAAAAAAGCGAAAAAAGATTTAATGAAAATTCGATTATATATATACGCCTTCTCGTGCGGTTTAAAGATATGCGCGTTTACGATATACGCCAGCGTGCTGCACATATTATACGCTATAGAGAGAGAGAGAGAAACGTAATTGAGGAAATTTAACGCGTGTTTGCCGCGGCGCATCCGCGGAGAAATGAAAATTTCTCCTCGCGCGAGTCCGTGTGTCCACGTATGAGTGCGTTTAACATGGTGTGTATACGCTATCGTATTTTTATAAACATATAGCCAATTGCGCGGCAATGTAGATTGTACGAGTGCTTATCATTATGCGTCATTATAAAAACTTATCATTATATTCTCTGTTGTTATTGTCATTCAATGGACGCCAGTGCCGCAGGCGCGTGTCCGATCTATTTTGATGCATGACTTTTTATTTACGCAAATTGTTATAAGCTCGCGCGCGCATTTTTCCTCGCGTTCGAATTGCTTTCGCGTACACACATACGCACGTCGTCGCGATTCCGATTGAAAACTGCCGCAGCTATTTATCTCTTCCAGAAATGACGAATGATCACAACAACAACAACAACAACAACAAAAAAAGAACAACACGAAATAAATTCTCGCATACTATGCTACTTACATAGAGCGGCGCGCGTGGCTAGAGCGAATGCACATCACGCACGTGTCTGTCGGGCGCATAATTAACTTTTTATGTTATATACGCGCGCGTTTCGTATGACGTATTATACCTCTTATAAAAAGCTTTTGGAATATTTGACTTTATATGGCACAGAGTCGGCGGCGTCCACGCGGGTCGGACGCAACGGATCGGATATGAAAATTGCGACGCGCGCATTCGCGTACACACGAAATATATTATAAAACGAGCGACGAAAAAAAGTCATTAGCGTATACATACAAATATACACGCGTACTATACGAATGACGAAAATATTTCAGCACGCGTCGATTGCCGCGTAAACGTATAATACGGTAATTGATTCAACGCGCGCGAGCGTGAGCTTATAAACTTCCGATTATAAAATTTCGAGTGTATACGTGCCTTTATTATATCGCCTGCGATCTTTCATCGAAAAAAAAAGTAGAAGCGAACTTAATCCGTCAATGATTTCACAAATCGTGTCGTATGTCGTATATATACTTATGAGCGAATTCGCACGAAAATACCCGATACGCGCGTAATTTTTCGTTTCCAGAAAATGAATCTCTCGAAACACACACAGGAGGAAAGAGAGAGAGAGAAAAGAAAGAGGGAAAAAAATCTCAGTCACGGCGCGCACGTGTGATTTCTCCAATTAAGGATTAATCGCGCAGCAGCAGCAGCAGCTACGGCAGCCACACGGTTACGGCGTAGACGAACCGCGAGAAGAATTTCCAATAATCGCGCCGTACAATAATCAGGCGAATATATGGGCTATTCCACAACAGGTGTTGCAAGCCCAAAAAATGAAGTTGAAAGTAACCATTTACTCTTCAAGAACACAATGAAAAATGAAAATCCTGAAGGGCACAGCCCCCTAGGTCCAACCCTTATGAATCTACAGGGGCTCAAAGTTGGATTTTCATGGTATGAGGATATTCTGCTTCTTACTCTGCTTTTCTGGGGGGACATAAGAAAAAATTTTTAAACCATGTTTTTTCATGTAAAATTTGATGTAGAATTCAAATCTGTACTCAGATGAGACATTAATAACCTCAAAACCCCTTGAAATAGAAAGTATGGTGTAATAGGACATAAATGTCAAAAAAAAAATATGTTCGTATACCTCAAATCAGCCCATATTGTAATATGTTCATCGATACACCAAAATACAACTTCTGATAAAGTTTGGTAACTGAGTCTCTATTACAGACAATTTGATAGCTTGCGAAAGGCCAAAAAACATGGAAAATGAGGAAAAAACCATGTTTTTTGGGCTTTCAAAAGCTACATAATGATCTGTAATGGAGACTCAGTTACCAAACTTTATCAGAAGTTGTATTTTGGTGTATCGATGAACATATTACAATATGGGCTGATTTGAGGTATACAAACATATTTTTTTTTTGACATTTATGTCCTATTACACCATACTTTCTATTTCAAGGGGTTTTGAGGTTATTAATGTCTCATCTGAGTACAGATTTGAATTCTACATCAAATTTTACATGAAAAAACATGGTTTAAAAATTTTTTCTTATGTCCCCCCAGAAAAGCAGAGTAAGAAGCAGAATATCCTCATACTATGAAAATCCAACTTTCAGCCCCTGTAGATCCATAAGGGTTGGACCTAGGGGGCTGTGCCCTTCAGGATTTTCATTTTTCATTGTGTTCTTGAAGAGTAAATGGTTACTTTCAACTTCATTTTTTGGGCCTGCAACACCTGTTGTGGAATAGCCCATATATATATGGTATATGGTAGCGGTTATAACGCGGCGGGAAATATGCAGCGCAGTGCAGTGCAGCACACACACACGTTATAGACTATGTACGTATACACACACACTGTAACGTGCGGGTTAATCTCTGTAATTTCAAGTGAAATCCCCGCTTGGCCAAACGAAAGGAGAAATGCGCGTGTGTAGTATATATCCTTGCGTTTAGCATATCAGCTTCATTTATTGCACGCGATCGTGCGTAGATATATATGTGCGCGTACGCATACACATCTAACACATTGTATCGAACCGTGAATAGAAAATTATAATAATTAATCTAATAAATCAGAAAAATGTGCAGCTCCGCGTTTGTACCGTAAATACGCGTAATAATAACGCGTATATTTTTATACATTTTTCTCTCTCTCTTAAATTACCCTCGACGACCATGAGATCGCTCTTGCGCGCGTGTGCGTCACACTATCGTATTATAATGTAATGTGTATACAAATGAGAGAGGAGCATAAACGAGTATTTAAACTGCACATCCCGCAATGGAAATTTCTTCCTCTCGATCAATGTAATAAGTGGTGTGCACTACTCACTGATTTTCTTGGCGCCACGCTGGAAGGGATCCATCTCGTCGAGACGATCGTCCTCGAGATTGGCCAGATATCTCAGGCCGGTCAACAGCAGGCTCTTGCTGCAGTCGGGCTTGAACGACTCGTCGCAGAATCTGACCACCTCCTGGCTGAAGACGCGGTAGAGATGATTCATCTGCCGGGGGGAGAGAAAATCGAAACAAAGGACGATTAATCGTTGAGAAGCGATATCAGTATATTGTAATGTATATTTTCAGAAGATGACAATCGGCGTGACATTGCTTAAAAAGGTGTATGCGAGTGCGTACATTATTGTCATTAATATCGCGAACGAGTATCATACGGATAATATACAGATGATGGGAATTATCCCGCGCGAGCGATGCGTGTCTATTGTATTATATCGTTACGAGCTCGATGCGCATACGGAGTCGGCGTCTTATTGTTTCGCAAGTATCGCGCAAACTACGATACGCAGCACTGGTACGCGAGTAGTGGTACAGGTACTCGCTGTACGATCGCGTACACGCGTATGCAAATGCACGAAAAACGCCATACACACATATACAGCAGGAACGCATGTCGTGCATATATTTGTACAGCGAGTGTGTATACCGTATACAGCACACGTATAAGGTTTAGGAAGAACACGTTTGGCATTGAGATTCACATCTGTATAATACTACTACTGCTACTCGTCCGCCTCGTGTGCTGTTGTTGTTGTTGTTACTGCTGCTCGACGAGAGCAAGAGAGGCCAATGCATTAATTCGGTATAGCTCGCGCGAGTTTCGCACGCGCCTCGATAAGTTCATTCGCTCGCGCGTGTATATCAGATTTATTGCAATGAAACGTTATTTGCTAGATCGCAGTTTACATTCGTGAAATCGTTATTTCATAGCCCTGGGAGAGATGCTCGAAATGACTAATGTCCAAATTACCAAAAAATAATTATTTCAAACGGTTAAAATAAATTTACATCGATTGATTTTTTTTTTTGCGATTTTCCTGATATAATTATGTTACAAATATTAACTGCAATTTGAATGACTAATAAATGAGAATAAAAAAAAATGTAGACTAGTTTTTAAACACGCCTTTACCGCTAGATGGCGAGTATCTCAAAACCTATAAATCTGCTAGTGGCTAAATCGAAATAATTGTATATAAGTATAAGCACGAGTAAAAATTCACACAATAACCACCCAAATATATCAGTTCTTCACGTCCAAGAAACGTTTCTTTGGTCAAAAGTTACTCATGAGGTATGAAGCATTGCTATTAGATAGGTAGAATAAAATAAATTCAACCCGAGCTCGATCCTCAATTACGAATTAATCTTTCCGAAAACGACGAGCGTAACTATTCTTCTGTAAAAACGATCGAGTGTGATGAAAGTGTGGCATTTTTTTAAAGTTCGCACGTGGTCGTGCGATCGAGTAAACAAACATCAGGTCATCCTTCATAGTACAAGTGCGCGCCGGGCAATCGATCGAAATCAATATAAAAAAAAAAAAAATAATAAAAGAAGAAGACGAGAGAAAGAGCAAAAGAATCCGAAGAACTCGAAATCGGGAGGTCAAGGGGGCAAATTATTATGTGCGTTATACAGTAAATGATATAATGATGAACGCCTCGAGCGAGTAAACATCTTGGCTCGTTTTAAAACAAACAAAATACCGCGCGCACGAGTACTCGTATTATACAGTCGCGCGTGTTTTTGAACACGCGCGCGCGCGCACGATCAATTCGGGCTTTTTTTATTTTATTTATTTTCGTATACTTTTATTACTTTGTTTTTCGTAAGCGAGCTCGCGAATCGAGTGTCAAGCTCCTCTCTCTCAACGTCGCGCGTGCTTTTTTATACAATAATGTATACGATATATACATTACACTTGATTCGACGTCCACGTGCGCGCGTGTATATACAGCGGGATTCGCGTAATATTACTCCAGGGCTTGCGGGATTTGTAGGTCACGTGAGTTCGTCGTCGTCGTCGTCGTCGTCCGTTGGTATACAGGCACATACACAAGAGATCGCGACGTATATGGCATATTTAATGTACTCTATATACAGGCGCGCGCCGCGTCCGTGTGTACTTGAACGTACGTGCGCGCACTTGCACAATACGCTCTGTATTATAGATATATTTATAAATCGTCGCTGCAGCTCACGTATTATACGCGCGGTAGTAGGTATAAATATAGTCGCGTTGAAAAGACGAAGAAGAAGAAGAGGTCGAGAAATGAGATCTATGTGAGCGCGTGCGGGAGCGTCAATTTGAATGGGACACGTCTCGCTCTTTCTCTCTCGCTACCTTGCAAGCGAGTTGCTTATAGCTGCCTGCCTGCCTGCCGCTGAATTTCCAAATCCCACAAGCGCGAATATGCGCGTGCATACGGATTTCCGGCATGTATGCCAAGTACTACTGCTACTACTACGACGGTATGGTATGCGAGAGCGAGAGAAATATCACCGAGCCTGCAGAATAAAAAGAGAGAGAGAGAGAGAGATCAAGTTTGAGCTGCGCGGCGTACGTATGTACGTAGCATCGAACGCAGGGGAGCGCCGTTTTTTCGGGCGAAGCTGGTATATGCATAATCGTATACCCTTTTTTTGCGCGTGCAAGCTCGCTGCGCTCGAGCTTTTATTCGTCGTGTGTACGCGCATTACAGTACAGAGAGGCGTACGTATACGTATATGATGATGTATGTCGGAGCGTTTCAACGGGCGCGCGATATCTCGAGGCAAAAACAATATATACACATTGCGCCTAGATGCAGCAGGGAGGAGGAGTCGAGAGGCGCCGATATATGGCGAAGCTTCGCGTACATAAAATCACGTAAGTTTTCGCGATTTCTCGATTGAAATTCTTTGCCTAGCGCACACACGTACGAGCGCACGTAAGTACACGCAAAAAAACAATTACGAGCTTGCGCGAGAGTTAGAGGGCGTTCGAAGCGGTGCTGCGCTGACGAGTCGTACAATGATGTACAAGCTTCATTACCGCGGGGTTGCTGTTGCACAAAGAAACTCGATTTGTGAAAAAAAAAATTCGGCGAATAATTATTCGATCAACGAGTATGAATCGATTGTGTAAAAAAATATTATACGGGCACTCGAGATTGATTGAGAGATCCGTATTATAAGTATGTAATGAGAATAAATATATTAATATATAAATATGGTGCAGGAAACTTGATCAGCTTGGCTAATCGCGCGGGCGCCTCGTATAAATACATTTAACAGCGAACAACAAAAGATATCGAAGCTTATGGAAGCAAAAAAAAAGAACAAAAAAACAAATCGTTGTATATAATTGATGATAAATGTTCTCTCGAATTGAGAGATGATCGACTGTAAGGACTTGACAGGCAACGATGTATATCGCTCAAAAACTATTATCCCGATCGCGCTTAAATACATTATACACTGTATTATATTATTTAGGTACCACGGCAAATAAAATTCATTCTCTGGTGTATGCGGGCGCGGGCGGGCAAGGTCGCACGCGTATACAACGCTCGAAATGGGTCAGAGATGGTCCGATCGACTCCGCAGGAGTGGGATACTCGATGTACCTAGTTACTACATTATGTACCCACGTGCTGGTAGAGGTATGTACATGGGAGAATACACCATGTATAACATCGAATTTTATCTAGATTTATTTAATAGCTCCTCGTCCGAAGTGTATGTATATAGAGTCACAACGTCGCTCGACGTCGGATATATGTATAGAGGGAGAGTCCGTCCGTAAGGACTCTCGAATTGTTCAATCGTGGAGCGGCAAGTCAAACCGATCGACGTTTATCTTTCGTCTACATACGTGTAGCACGTGTATATACACACACACTCGTGCACATTATATGATTATCTATGTATACTTGACTTAAAAAGGAGCGTACACTCGTCGCTACTCGTCCACGTAACAACGCGGGAGACGAGAGGAAAAAAGTCGTCGTCGTCGACGGATGACCTGACATTACGTATAGTACAGCAGTCGAGGCAGTACTGGGAGCACAAATCCTACGTAGGTATGTACCAACCCGTCGATATTTCGCATTTGACAGCCGGTGCCGTAACGTACGTGTGTGCGTAAGGCTTTTTATACTTATTTTGTATCGGTTGCACGTGCTCGCACACGAGTCCGTATATCCACGCGAGTGACAATACCAACTCTCCGCCTACGCCTACACACTAGCTCGTTATACATCTTGAATGCAAACATCATCCAATAAATACACATATAGTACACACACGTGTACACAGAGCAGAGAGAAAGCGGGTACGTATATAGGTATATGTGCGCGGACAAACAAGTGCTAACTATTCAAACTCCGCATGAACTGCAGCAGCAGCCGTCTCCTGCTCAGTGGAACGCAATTAGCGCTTAAAGTTAAAGTGGCGCGCGAGTGAACGCGCGCGCGCGCATATATACGCGACTGCGATGCGTGAAAATTTTTTTCTCTCCACCCACGCGCTCCTTTCTTTCTTTCTCTTCTTTTCTCTCGTCTCGTCTCGTGCGTCAATATGCGCGTGCTATACTACTATACTAGGCTGCTGCTGTCATGTGTGCTTTCGAAACTTTGGAACGCGCGCGGCGTGTGAAAATGTACGTATTGCGCGTGCTATACCCAAATATAGGTATATATAGCGTTGTACTCGCCGAGACGAAAAAACGTGCGTAACTTATGCCTATACGCATACAAAAACGAGTAAGAGCCGAAGCGAAGATGGGTTACACGCATTTAATTTCGCGAATAATACATTTATGTATATACCTCCGCAAGGTATATCGAAAGTCGAAAGCGCATTTGCGCGCGAGTGTGCGGTGCAGTGCGCAGTCGTGCGAAAATCGACAACTACTTAAGCGGCGTCGCTGGCGGGTATAGCAGAGAGAGAGAGAGAGAGAGAGACAGACGAGATGGATGGGAAATGTATGCCAGAATTTAATCGACGCACAGTACCCGGTGCACTCTCTGCCCAGGCGCCCCCGCGCCCCCGCACTTTCCGAGCCAAGCGCGCTGCGGTTAATGGACTTTAATGATGTTTGCCTCGAATTCCTATATAAACCTGTGTGAGTGTGTGTGCGCGCAAAGCTGCTGCACCACTCGATTTACGCACGCTCGCGCACGTGCATAAAGGCCGTGTGTGTGTGTGTGTGTGTGTGTGTGTGTGTGCAGTCCGAGGCCTAGCCCGAAAGCGCAGCAGCGCACGGTATAATTTTAAACTCGCGCGTATCCTACGTACGAGGACTAATGGCGCGCCCAATCGATATTGATTGGGTTTATATGCCGAGTGTATAAAACGGGAGCTGAGCTTTTTCTAGCTCCATTTCTTGTGCACATTATATATATGCAACATTATAATCGCGGATGATATAAAAACGCGCGAGAGTCTGACGCAGGAGGCGCACGAGAGGGCCGGAATATTATCGACGCCACGAGCTTTTGTTACGCGGTTTTTCATAATACGTATATGCCGCACCGAGCATCCATAGTGCTATGGAAAAAGCTGCAAGACGTATACCCACTACATACCATTAGACGTGCCCTCGAGGCCTGGACTCATGCTCACGCGCAATCCTAGAGAATTTTGGGCTTTTGTTCGAATACCCACTTCGTATTCTTCTCTTTTGTCGCGATATTTAATTTTATTTATACGTAGCAAAATCGTGAATTTCATAATTCGAGCTTACGGGTGTATATAAACACGAGCAATACGTAAAAGCTTATTAATAGAAACAGATCGAAACCGGCGAGCGCATGAATGGCTAATCGGATATTTATACATAAGAGCTCGAGCTGCATCGAGATATTAAATGCACGACGATGATGTTCAAATTCGAAGCTCCCCCCTGTCCTATATGTAAGCTCGTCGCGAATTGTGTGTGTGACATTTATTTGCGAGCGCACTCAAATATCCGATAGATCGGCGGCGCGCTGCAGTCTAGCCGTAATGCGCGTGATTGACTTTACATCAAACGAGTGTGTGTCTGTGTTTCTGTTTGTGCTATAGTAGTGCATACACTCGATCGATTATTAGTTCCCAAATGCGGGGATGACTTGGTTTTGCACCGAGCTTATGGACGTTATTCAAAATTGATAGAGAGAGAGAGAATTGGACACAAATTTTGCAAACTGTACGAATACGTGTAGCAGGGTCTCTTTATCGCGTTAAAACTCGAGAGCGTATACATTATTATAGAGAGAGAGCTGCACACACTACGACGGCTTGATTGGCTATAAGCGATATTTGGGGACGATAAAACAAAGCCGCGCACGAGTGTGTGGTATACATAGTTCATCATCGCATTTAATCGAATGTGATTTTCGAAAATTTACCCCTTAACGCTTAGTGCACTCAGTCGCTCGAATTCAGTCCGATATCAAATGTATGTATGCGCGATAAACGAAATTTCGGAATATGCATATGTACAACCGATCGAACTCGAGAATCGGATATTAAGCCGCGCGCACACCTCGTATAGAACTAATCGCGCGCCCGTTCACTTTACTGCCAACTGCGACGATATTACACCGGTTATAACTTATACAATCTACTACGTAGTAAAAAAAAACAAGAAGGCAAGAGTGCAGCAGCGCGTCGTGCTTTACAATGCCCAGCGAGTAAGCTCACCTTTTCGTCCCTCGTGAGGAACTCCCACATGGGAATGGAGGAAGCGGTGGCACGTGTCGCGCAGAAGCTAACGAGCAGCGTCGCCGCCAGCAAAAAGCTCGACCTTCTGCTGCTGCTGCTACAACCCTTGATGGCCATCGTGCTGCTGCTGTGTTCTCTTCTTCCTCTTCTTCTTACTTCCGATTGGTATCAAAATTGAAACTGGGTGATCGTATATACGTATATATTTCTTGCGCGTCTTCACTTTAAACGTGGGGAGGGGGACAAATATATATATCTATAACGAGAAAATCACTCAAGTGTCGTCGTCGATGCTGCAGCTGCAAAACCTCTGCAGCGAAGATTCTCCCGATACTCGGTATGTAGGGCACACTATCGGAGGGAGACACTCGTGTTACGTTGTTTTTCTTTTCGTTAATATAACGAAGTAGCAAAACGAAGCGTTAATGTTTCTTTTTTTTTTAAAGTATAAATATGTATACGAGGCTATTGCGTTGGCTCGCGAGTTAACACTGAGAGGCGAAGCACGCGAATCGTTGCTTTTATGCACGGTCCCGGTTTTATATGTGGAATAAACGACGACAAGAGAGAGAGAGAATCTCCGGTCTCCCCCTCTCCACCCACTTCCTACCACGAGCATGTATATAATGTTCGCGGCCCCGTGCGTAGAGTCTCTCTCTCTCTCTTTCTCTGTCTACCAGTCTAGTATAGTGTCGGGCCCCCTCTGCTCTTCTTTTTTTCTGCGCTATTTTTCATTTATGCGTCTTTTTTTTGTCATTATACAGCCAAATAATCCCTGACGTAGGATGATAGTGGCGGCCGATCGGCCCGCCGCGAATTGACGCAGATGCGCCGCCGATCTTTCGCCTTGTGTCGCGCGAATCTCATGTGTATGTCATGGTTTTTACGTATACGCGCGACTTTTTTGTCTGCGCCGAGGCGGCCTCCGATCGTAGACGACGACGACGATCGTAAAATGTCAATGGTTTTCCCGACTTTGGCATTCCGCACGTACACACACATAACACAAACTATGCGAACGACTTTTTGATAGATTCCTCAGCTGCGCGCACGCGATCTATATCGGGGCAAAAAATTCGATACACCAAAATTTATATATTAAAAATATAATAATCGATCTCCTGCGATGTTGTTACTACACGTACGATATTATATATTTCGTATTAACGCGAGTGGCTCGAGCCACGAGGATTATAATGAGCTGTCGAAGAAAAATGTGAGTGCACACACGCTGTATTTTAATATTAATAATCATTCCATGTGCCCGATCATATATATAAAATACGATGATGTACTCAATCAGAGAACGACCTCGCGTCGCGCGATCGTCGACTTTAAGGTCGATTTTTGGGCACGTACGCACGCACCGACTTTTTTATATTATTATTTTTTTCTTCCTTTCTTCCGTTACGTTTTTTTTTTTTTTTCATTCTTCTTTCGCCGTCGGTCTCTCGCTGAGATCGAGAGCTACTTACGCGGTACTCGAAATATAGGTGCATGATACATATCGTGTAAACACTCTATACGAAGTTTTTTTTTTAATGCGCTGACCGTTACGGTAATAATAATTATAATCTCGCGCTCGCGTCTCGTCTCGAGGTGACCGTGATTCTTTTTTTCTTCTTACTTCATACATATATTTGACGAGATTTTCCTTCGACGGGAGATGATCGTCGTCATTTGACATATTCTCGGCGTGCTGTCACCACTCGGGGCTCTTTGTCTCGTGATCTAAATATACGGGGTGAGAAATCGCGATGATCTGAGTCAACGTCGGCGACGGCAGCGTCGGTGGCTCGCCTCGACGTCGACTCCAATTAACGATAGACATTATATACTCGATGTACATACGTGTAAGGCGCTAAAATCGATTCGAGTTTCTTTGCGGTCGTATGTGATATTATTGTGTGTCACGCGGAAGAAGAGGACGAAGGCACGAAGACGATGAAAAAAAAGCAGTAGCCGACCGTACGTCGTGCCGACGTTTAAAGGAGAGATAAATTGAAATATTTATGTGCTCGGCCGTAATAGTCGAGATTTTTGCGCGGGTTTCAATGCAAACACATATCTTTTTTTTTACTCGGCATGATGCTGATCGTGCGAATGATTGAATTCACGCGCGCGCATATATATACCCGTTTACGATGCGGTGCAGCTGCGGTGTTAATATATATTTTTATTTGGACAATTATCGCACGGATCGACTTAATTACTACATTATATTGTCGAATTTTCTTCGATTAATTCGATTTTTTTGACCGCAGAGTTGAGATTCGAGCGATTGCAGATGTACGCAAAAAAATGGGTACGTTTCGAAACGATAAACGGATCGTAATCGGATTATAATATACGCATAATATGGTTTTCGTGTAAACAAAGTGGGAGGAAAGAGAGGCTTGAACTTTGGGTTAACGTCTCGTTGCCAATTTTCGAAAAATAAAAAATATTACTCCGATTGTTGTTCATAAAATCTCGAGAACTGGTTTGACCGGGGCCCGAAAATTTGTAAACTTTAGCCTTTTTTAAAAAAAAAATATATTACAGTTTGAACCGAACTTCGGCCTATTTTTTTACACCGATGCAAAATTTGGCTTGTTTAATTTCTTTAAGCAAGAAGGCACGAATTACTGTGATATTGTGCAAGCTGACTCCTGAGATGATAATACGTTAATTCACACTTACTTTTTTTTTTAGAAAAGTGAGACGTTCGCCTGTTAAATACATCTTCTTCTTCTTTTTTGCCGGTCATTTTTGCCATGCAACTCGTTAATGGGTTCCGTTAATGTGATTTTAAACATAGGTTTTTTCGCAACGATACGTGTACGCAGTTGCCAAACAGAGACAATGTACAACTCGACGATTTTTCGAAAGTACTTCATACCAATCATCGTACGAGTGAATCGCGTAATGGACCAAAAATTCGATCAATTTTTTTTTTTTTTTTTTAATCACGAGCTAATTTCACCAGCTCGCTCGCGATCGGAAAATATTTTCCAACCCCCGTTCTCTCGGGCGAGAAGGAAAAAGAGTCGTTTCATATTTTTCGCGAAGATACTTTGCAACTTTTTCAAGTATTCATGGTAAGCACACTTGTTTGCGCTGCGTCGGGCGCGCGTTTCGACTTTTTCGCCCGTTATCAAAATATTATGTACGCGAGAGGAGCGCATTTAAAATTTAACGGCAGAGTAACCGAATATTTGCGATCGCGTACTCTTCCTCCGCTGTTACGTGTGCGTACCTCCGTATCTTCGTGCATGCATAAATTCGCCAATATTAATTTTTCATTGAATATTTACTCGTGCACTCCCGGTTACGTGGTTAATAAGCTCGACGTTTGTTTAACTCATGAGCGATACACATTTTTTATTATTATTATTATTATTTAACATCGATTTTTATATGGATTTGTGTATTTACGAGAGCAACGGCAGCAGCAGCGCGCCTACGGTAAATCACTAGGAATTTATTGCGTCAAGGACTGGTTTTTTTTTTGGTGCTTTCTTTGTTTGCATTGATCAAAAATTTTCAAGCCATAAAATCCCTCCCATTAATATATGATCAATGAGCGAGAAAGGCGAGAGATCCTGACGTCAGGACGTTTGCGTCGATGATTTAACAAATGACGCCAAAACTAATACTCGGTCTTAAACCTCGGTGAGAGATCTCGAGCGCGTGATTTATTTTTGATGATTTTTCTATTGTTTTATTCGTTTCGAATCTTCGAGAGCTGGTTGAGCAGCGTGAAAAAAAAACGAGAGAGAAGAATTAGCATAAATCCTCGATTTTCGGAGCATACCGACTGTGTGCCGCAACCGTACGCGAATGCGTTAGTAGGATAGAGAAAAAAGGATAAATAAAAAAATAATTTTCGCGACCGAAGTGGGTGGCTGCCGCGTTCGTGATACAGAAAAAAAGGCCGCGTTTCGTTGGATTGTTAAGCGCTTGCAATAAGTTATACAAATCACATATCTCATTATTGCGGGCCTCTCTTTAACGAATTACCCTGACGCAGCAGAAAAAAAGACCCAAGAAAAAAGCTTGAATAATGTTAATTTCAAGGATTTATATTTGACTGATTATAATGAGGTCCAAAGGAGTACAGACACTAAACATGTGTAGCGTATATATATGAGATACGTGCTATATCATAAGTCTAAAGCATAGGCGCAGGACCACGATAAAGATCGCGAGTATAGTATAGTAAAGCAGCAACAGCAGCAGCTCGCTTATATGGCAATACACACAAACATTCATATACACATGCCCATTGAGTTTGCTCTTTGGCACGTATTAAAAATTCACGCACGACTGGAGTCAAAAAGCCCGCACTCATACACACACACATACATTAGCGAGAAGAAGAGTAGTCGTCCTTTGCAAGGACGTTTATTGCCGTTTCGAACGAGAGACAGAAAATACTCGCTCACACGCGCGCAGGCACAACACAAATGCAAAACGCGGTCGAATGGATGACGATCGAAAGGCGGTACACATACACATGATATACGCGATTCGAATGCATAGAGACAATGGAACTGCTGCTGCTGCTCGCGATGCTACCGCGTGTGCGCATGAATTTCTCGCAATGGTGTGCAAAAAGCGGGGAAAAAATAATAACGAAAATGAGAGGAAGGAAAAAATACTACGACGGCTGCTGCTTATCGAGCGCCGCACTCGGCTCCGAGATATTTCTATTAATTTGCCGGGAAATAAATTCGATTTTTCACCGTGTGTCGCCGGTTCTCCGCCGCCTATATTACGTATATATGCGTATATGCGCGTATAGCTCACAGGCATGCGATGTCTGACCGACGCGCTAGCCGGGCGAGACATTTTTATAGGACGGCTTTGGGGCCGGCACACAATCGTTATCAGCGATCGGGGCGACGTTCAGCATTACCTTTTTTCTACTTTTTTTACTCTCTCTCTCTCTCTCTCTCATTTCTTTTGACACTGACGTCTCAGCTTAACACATCGTAAATTATCGCGCGCTGGCCCGAGGATGAGTACGAGCTTTTTTTTCTTCTTTTATTACGCGACTCGAGTATAATATATATATCTAGGTGTTTCGCTCGTGTATAGCGCATTATGCACGATTTCAGACACTCCGCTAGCGAGCCAGCGCGAATCATCGTGCGATATAATCGAGACACGAAGGAATTTCGGGACATTGGAAAAAATGTCACTCTCCGCGCGCGCGCCCGCTCGAGATCTCCTCCGCTTGATCCCTCGAGTTTTTTTCCTCGCGCTAATATACAGGCGTCAGGGATTTTTTTTCTTCCGCCTTTTTTTTTCCATTTACACTCTTTCACGTGACCATACGTAGTAGTACAGAACTTCGGGCGATAAATATTCAAAAATTGAGTTAATTTATTGTAATCGCGTAAATGATTTCGAATGGTGACTTTGCAAACATTCGACGATGGCGCCAGTTTGATACTTCTCTTTCTTCCTTTATGATCATTGTTATTATTTATTTTTTATTAATTCACGTTGAT